TGGGATTACAGGCTGAGCCACCGAGCCCGGCTGGGCCCGCTCCTTTTACAACAGGTCCCAGCCGCTCACATCTCAAACCGGTTCTCATGCTCTCAGATTCCTGAAGGTTTCAGGAAGCAATCTCATGTGAGGGTTGCTGATGACTTTCTGCTTTCTCTGCCTGCAGTGTCTAGTCCCCTCTCTCCCATTCCACCATGCAGAGACTCAAGGAGATGAGGAATAAGGGGTGGAAAGCAGGGGAGGTTTCTGTGCTCCCCCGCCCCCAGTCACGTCACTGAGAAAAGAGAGGTCAAAGGGGTTCCTGAGGAATTTCTAAGCAGCCCACCCCCTTCTCCACCCTTCTAGAAAAATGGGGGGCGGGCTTAGAGGGAACTGACTGAAGATCAGGCTCCAAGTGGGGACTCTCCCTCTCTCCAGTGTGGCCTGGAAAGGGCACAGGCAGTAGCCGGCTGCCCACGGGGCCACCCTCACCCGCTGACAGGGTTATGGTTTTCATTTCATATTTTGGAGGGAGGGGCTAGGAGAAACAGTCCCCTCACTGTAAGAGCTGGCCACAGGAGCCCAGGGAAGCGGGGAGGAGAGGAAACAGCCACATTAAAGAGGAAGAGAGGGGTGGGGGAAAGAAAGAGAGAGGCACATACACCCAGACAGAGACCCGGAGAGACACCATCGAGACAGAGAGACACTGTTTGCCACCACATGAACGCGCTCAGTCCCAAGGATGGTGTTACTTGGAAACTCTAAATACACGACTTTATCAAAACTCTATCCCTAACAAGGAGAGAAAGCTGCCAGGTAAACTAAACGGTCAGACTGGCTCTCCCAGAGCTGCCCGGGGGACAAGTTTCCCTGGAGGCCCGAGACCTTTTCATTCAGCTGTAACCTGAGCCCTGTTCGAGGATTAGGTCTTTTTAACCACTGCTGCCCCCCCAGCACCCCCTCCTCCGCCAAGAAAGCTAAGCAAATTAATGCTTTTAAGTTAACAATTATCTTGGTTATCCAGTCTGTCTACTTTAAAATACACAGACAGGCACTTGAAAAACACTCAAAACCATGTACCCTTATGCTCACACCCTCCTGGTCACACAGGCTCGCCCACTGCCTCGTCCACACACACTTCTCGCATACACTGAAATATCAGTGTTCGTGTTTAGCAACTAAGTCACAAGACAGACACCCAGCAACGTCGCCTGTGGGTGACCGTGGTGAACCACACACATACACATACATACACACACCCCTTTACACTTAGGGTCCACTTTCTTGTCCCACCCCCATTCCACATGAGTTGGGTTTTCCTGTTGTGGGAATCTCTGGTGGAAAAGGACAGAGATACAGATATGCCTAGAGGTGTAGTAACTCCCAGCAAGATGTTTGCCAAGTGTATTCGTATTTAAAAGACCTGCTAGTGCTTCATTAAAAAGCGGATAGCATTAAGGGCACATTTTCTGGCACTGCTGATAACCAGGAGATATTTCTGGGGGCAAGAGAGGCCTCCTAGATGCCCACAGCCTCTGTCTACGCGTGAAGCTATAAGGCTGCCCTCCTTACTCGGTCAGTACTTGGGCTTCCTACAGCTTCTGCCTGCAGATCTGGGTTCAGAGACATCCCTCAGACCCAGCGAACCTGCTGTCAGGCAACCTCTGGCAGACAGGGTTTTACAGATTTCCTGAACAGCAGGGTCAATGAGAGGCTTCCATTCTATGCCAAGCTAGACTCGGGGATAGAAAGGAAGGAGGGAAGGAGCTAAGCTAACTGCAGCTCAGCCAGAGCCAGTGTGGCCTGTGAATGAGATAAGAAGGAGACAAAACAACTAGTAAGTTCCTTGAGGGCAGGAGCCTCCACTCTGGCAGCCCTTTCATCCAGCATGGTGTCTAGCGACAGAGGGAGCCCTGGAGTAGCCTTGGAGAGACTGACTCTTGTCCATGAACTGTGGGCTCATCCCCCAGGTTTGATGGCACCTGTCCCTGGGAGAGGTCTCCTTCTGCCCCTAGAGCCTCCTTGAATACACTGCTTCTCCTTTTGCCCCCAGCCTCTCAGCCTCACTAGGCCACTATAGACTCTGGCTCCAACTTGAAAGAGGCTCTTATCTTGTCTCCAGATTACTTCATGAAATCTGTTCCTTCCTTTAGACTAAACTCCCTGGCTAATTCCATGTTATGAGTAAGACAGCGAGCACTACAAAAGCCAGCTTTGTTTATGAAAACAAGCAAATCCACAGTGAGGAGAGGGGCTGCTCCCAGCCTGGGGTAGCAGTGGTGGTGGGCTGTCTGGAACCAGCAGCGGAGAAGAGGCACTTCGGGTTGGAAACATGTGGGGGTGGGGTCTGGTATTTGACAGCTGAGGGTCTCTAGTATTTCAGTTCTGTTAAAGGGCTGGTTGGAGGGGGAGAGGCTAGCTGAAGAGGCAGTGCTTTGGGAGAGGAGGGTGGCTCTGATGTAGCACCTTCCTTTCAACAGAGCAGGAGCCCATCCAGCACAGAGCAGCTTCAGAGCCGAGCAACTTCAGAGCCATGCGCTTTGGCTCCCGAACTCAGCAACCTGACTGCCAGACACTCAGGCTTCCCCAACTCCCAAGTTCAACTTTCCTTCTGGCCCAGCCACCTCCTCACCCCAGCTAGCTTCAGGAGCCACGGACAATAGGCAGAATCTTGCCCTCCTGGGCAAAACCGAGCAAGAAGGAATTTTCTTTTTGTCATATAAATCTCTTGTCGGTGAGGACACAATGGGGGAGGGGTACAGCAAGAGGTCAAGGAGGAGGGGACGCTGTCCCAAGAGAACTGTGGCACACCAGCCTGGCTTCTGGCTGCGCAGTCTTGGGACCCGCCGGACGATGAGCTGAGGGTCAGACACGGGGGCGGGAGGCCTCTTGTTCCTCCCTTTAATTCCTAGAGGGATCTGTCAGAGCTCCGTGGCCTGGAATTCTACTTTGTTATTTTAATGCAATTCTGACCTGGATTTAAATGGAATTGGAAACCCGAGGCCTTAATAAATAAATATTATGATAAGAAATGAAAGCCATGCAAGACGAAAGAGATTTCCCCCCGAAGAGGCAGAGAAGCAACATTCTTGCCGGGAGTCAGTCACAGAAACCTTCTCCTCTTCAGCCCCTACCATCTAGCGAGGAATGAGCTGGCTTTTCCAGAAAAGACGCTATTTTTCTTAAACATTTTTTTCCACTGATAACACAGCAACTTCGAAACTTCTAATTCTGCAGGCGGATTGGGGGTGAGAAGAGCAAACAGGGCATGGCTCAAAAGTTTTCATTCTCTGTCTCTCTAAGCCACAGCTAAACTTTCTGGCAGTGTTTGAGCGATCTTCTCTCCGACTCGGGAGGACACGAAGTCTTCCGAAGAAGCGGAGGTGAATGAAGCAGGGCAGAATTCCGAGGTGCATGGTCGCCTCTGCCCACTGCCCCCCAGAACTTCTCACCCATCCCTGCCGCCCGGGTTCCTCCGGCTTCTGGCTCTCGGGGCGCAGCGCCCAGCGGTCAGGTTCCCCACCCGGAGTCCGGGCGCACAGAGCCGAGTCCTGACAGCGGCACGCGCCCCAGCACCTGCCCTGTCCTCGGCAGCCGCGCCAGGCCCGCGGGCCCCGCAGCTCGGCAGTCCCGCGGCGTGCGCTCTCGTCCTTACCTTGCGCGGTTCTGCTGTGCTGGGCGGCGCGGGCGTGGACCAGCAGCACTAGCAGGCAGAGCCCGGGCACGCGCCCC